CACCTTATATTATATATATATATATATATAAACAAAATAAATTATGCCTAATTTATTTAAAAAATATTTCTCTCTAATTGAATAATTTCTGTGTTAAGATTGAAATTATGAAGGAACTGTCCACAGTTCATGTTTATTAAATATTCCAAGCCTTCAAGTGATGACTTTGTACCATAGTTTTAAATATGACATGTTAATTATTTTCAATTTTTGAAAGAATTAATTGTTATATAAACATGATGTCATTTTTTAATTTAAATGTTTGTGATGTCATGCGGATGTGGTATCAGAATTTGTAATTTTCTCAAATTTTTAATGTGTTTTACTAATATTATTTTTATTTTTCTGTTTCTGTATCATGTGTTGCAATATGACAAGTAAGTCTACAAGATAGGGTTTTGGTTGTATATCTGACATTCTTTTTATTATGTTCTGAAATACAATCTCTACTGGAGCAAGTGAATTTGTAAAAAATATTATTCTTATAGTTTGGTTTGGTTTGTTTTACGGCATATCAACCTCAATGGGTTATTTAATGCCGACAACATTTTTAGGATAGATTCGTATGAATAGAGTATGTATTCTTTGGTTTAGATTGGTTTGGTTTATTTTGTTTTACGGCAAATCAACCTCAATGGGTTATTTAATGCCGACAACATTTTTAGGATAGAGTCGTATGAATAGAATATGTATTCTTTGGTTTAGATTGGTTTGGTTTATTTTGTTTTACGGCATATCAATCTTAATGGGTTATTTAATGCCGACAACATTTTTTTGATAGATTCGTATGAATAGAATATGTATTCTTTGGTTTAGATTGGTTTGGTTTATTTTGTTTTTCGGCATATCAACCTCAATGGGTTATTTAATGCCGACAACATTTTTAGGATAGATTATTATGAATAGAGTATGTATTCTTTGGTTTAGATTGGTTTGGTTTATTTTGTTTTACGGCAAATCAACCTCAATGGGTTATTTAATGCCGACAACATTTTTAGGATAGAGTCGTATGAATAGAATATGTATTCTTTGGTTTAGATTAGTTTGGTTTATTTTGTTTAACAGCATATCAACGTCAATGGGTTGTTTAATGCTGACAAAATTTTCATTGTTGCTAATATTTTTTTCCCAAAAATCTATTTCTGGTAAGAATTTTCCTTCACTGGTAATAATTTTTTTTTTACAAAGTATTTCTTGTATTAAAACATATTTTTATACTTTCATAGTGTTTTGACTCGAGTATAGGGGTTAACTATTTGCCCATAGCTGGAATCCTAACAGGTGCTACCACCCCAGGTCAGGGTGGACCTGGGAACATCAACAATTAAGAGGTGGTTCCACACTCCTCAAAAACCTCCTGATCAGAGGCCTTGCTGTTGGACGTAGTTTATCATCTTACCCAGTATGTGGATGTAGTTTATCATTATACCCAGGATGGTATTCTGATAGTGAGGATTTTCTATTTTTAAAGCAATTCACCCCAAGCAAGGCAGGAGTGCCACTAGCATGCAAGGGGGTTACAGAGGATTGAGAACAAGATTAAAAAGATGTGTTTGATGAAAAGATACAGAGAAATACAGGGAACAAGATTAAAGTATCAGATGTCGATTGACATTACACTTGAATATTTGAAGATTATAGTTATTAGGGAAGCAAGCAAGAGGAAGGCAGTTTCACAGATAGAAAGTGTGATTGAAGAAGCTGTTTGAGTAGAAGAACAAGTATTAAATTCAAATTCCCTGATGGGATATGACAAATGAGTCTAAGAAATGGGGTAATTTTCACATATCTTATTTTTAGAGACACAATCTCCAACAGGGCAAGTGAATTTGTAAACAACATTAGTCTCATCATAACTACTAAATTCAAAGTTTAACATCCCTTGTACCCCGAGAACATGAATTTAAGCATGCTACTAGATTGGCACCTTGGTCCCACTCTTTTACTATTGAAATAGCTAAGTGCAACTACAATCTTCAAAAATTTAATTGCAACCTTAATCGCCATCTTCTGTCTTCTTGAATCCTCTTCATCTTTTGTCCTCACCTCAATCCTCCCCCCTTGTCAGTCTTCTCTTTCACTTTCACTCCCTGTAACTTCCCTAGTAGCATTATTGCCTTGCTTGGGGTGAAAAAAAAAATTTTTATAATGGTCAATAAATTGCTGATGATCACTACTGACCTTATGGATCTATGGATTTGAGACGTCTCATCACTGAGTTGGTCCAAAACACATCAGCTGTAACAATGGTTTCTCCTGCTAGGGTGGACACAGGCTCGAGTAACATTTAAGTGATAAAATCTGTCAAATTAATACATAAAAGAAAATCCATTACTTTTTTTAGAAATTGCTTTATGTTAAGATATGAAACTGAACAGATCTGAACATTTTGAGAATCGTTGAAGAAATTTATGATTAAAGGCTCTGTTGGTGTGACCCATTGTGGCAAAGTTGGTTTCATGACAGTTTCTTTATATATATATATATATATATATATATATATGATGAAGAAGAATTATGAAATTATTTTTAATTTGCAGTGTCAACCAAATGAAAAGAAAAGTATTATGCCTATGGTTTGTCATTGCATCCGAATTATAAACTCAAGACTGTTACTTTTTCAACACTATTTTGTACATTTTCTTTCTTTATCAAATTTTCAAACATTTTTCTATGTAGGATGAACAAGGAACAACTGTTTCTAAAAAGAAAATCGATTTGACTGATAAATTGAATCAAAGTTCAAACTCTCTTTTCTTTTTATTGATTTCATTTCATATCACTTATTTTTTTTCTATCATATAATTTTTCATAGGTGTAGATTTTTCATTTATTAATCTGAAAATTTAAGTAATAAAAATTATAATAACATTTACATGATAAAATCTGTTGGATTAATAAATAAAAAGTTGATTACTTTTTTAGAAATTGCTTTGTTCATGTTAAGATATGAAACTGTAGAGATCTGAACGTTTTGAGAATCGTTGAAGAAATTCGCACTTAAAGGCACTATTTGGCTTTGGTCAATTGACAAGACCTTTTGTGGCCTAATTGGTCTAAAGCACATCAGATCTAATGATGGTTTCTCCTGCTAGGGGAATACAGGTTCAAATCCTGCTGAAGATTTTTTTCTTTAATAAGATTTCTCAAATACTCAGACAGGTAGATGAAAATAAATAAATATATTTTCTAATAAATAAATGAAGCATCTATGCAAATATGGCCATCCAATAAAAATAACATTTAAGTGATAATATATATATATATATATATATATATATATATATATATATGTCTAAGAAATAGATTAAATAAGAAAAAATAGATTAAAAAAATACACTTGCATATATGCAATTACAAACATATTTGTAATTGGGTATATGTTAGTGTTATTTTTTCTATCATTTTTGTTATTAAATATCATCCCATATTGTGATAATAGATCTGTCAAAAAAGGTGAAATGTAAAACACAAATTTATGATGGATAATCTAGCAATTAAAGTACTTTCTATACACTTTCATCTTAGTAAATTGCTTTCTCTTTTAATTAAAGTAACATTTTTTAAATCAAAATTATGGTCAAACTCATTATGGTGAGCAACTGATGCACTGAGTGTGTTTTGTAAAAGATCCCTTTTGTTTTCATATAATCTTTTATTTAAAATCCTTGAGGTTTCTCTGATGTATTCCTTGTGGCAATTATTATAGGTGATAGAATAAATTCTTCCTTCAAGTTTTGGCTTATTATTTTGATTTGTATTAATTAAGTTTTTATTTTTTTTAGACGTAGTTATGACAAATTTTATGTTATGCTTAGTGTAATGACAAAAGTACGCAGATGTAGGCTTTAAGAAAGCTTTATTCAAATGAGAATACAAGGTCTATAGTGTCTTTTATAGTTCCAGTAAACAAAAATAGCTCTCTGAAAGAGGAGAGTAACAAAACAAGGGGGAGACCACTCTTGATTATTCATCACACTTAGACAATTGTAGTTGTGATAGAATATAGGTGAGTAGGACAATATATTTTGATTTGTTAGGTTTGTTAAAATGGCTCAGACTTCTAGTTTGAAACATTTTACAAGCATTTTGTTTTGCAATTAATTAGGAAGAGCTTGAAAGTGTTTTGAAAAGTAGCTTGGAAAATCTGATACTCTGAGGACAGATTGAAGGCAATTGGGACAGAAGAAAACAATGCATAACCTATTTAGTGAGATTAAGTAAATGGATGGTGCAGCATGTTTTAGGAGAAATAAGACAAAAGACAAAATTTATTAAGAGCTATGAAGGACAGGAAATTGTGGAGAGCCATGATCACTTATGACCTGAAGAGATACAGCACAGTTAGAGAAAAGGGAAACTAAAAGGACCCTTATAATAAACATCAGGAAGAGGCAGCTGAAATTTCTAGGGCACATAATGAGAAAAGAGGGCTTGGAAAATCTGATACTCACAGGACAGATTGAAGGCGAGAGGGACAAAGGAAAACATGATGAGGTTTGCAGTTTAAAGTATTTTTTTAAGTGGATAATTAATTTTCTTGTTTTTGTCGACTGGAGTTGTATATTTCATTGTAATGTTTCTAAGAGAAGATTCATCCTGCTTTTAGTTAGAAAATCAATAATAGCATCCGAAAAGAGTAGCTAAAAGTGTTCGAACATACAGAATATTTGAACAATTTTGACATAATTTATGTTCAGAAAAGAAAAAAAGTTATAAGAACACAAGAAAAATTAAATTAAAAAATTAAGCGCAGTACCTTATCAGTTATTTTTAACAAAACTTGTGTAAAAGAGGAACTGTTGTGCAAATACACAATTATATATATATATATATATATATATATATATATATATATATATCTCAAGCTGCTCTCTTTCCAGATGCATGTGAAAACATGCTCATTGAGACGCACATACACATTTGTGAATATAAAGCCATCTGCAGCAGTTTGGTGGTAGGATTTAGAGGCATGCTTTGTGTAAGTGGAGCAGGAACATTTATTGGGGGTGGAATTGAGTTCTGAAGGGATGACTCATGATGAAGGACGGCAGTAAATTCCAGACCCAGGAGAGCATCTCATGAAGCAACATCTCACAGGGTAAGGGTGAAAAAAAAAAGAAAAAAGAAAAAGAGTGGGGCAGTGGAAAATCAATCATATATGAAGTGATGACAGAAAGGCAGAAACTGACAAGAAGAAGAAGAAAAAGATTAAGGGAAATGTTAGGAAAAAATAAAAGATAGATAGATAGATAGATAGATAGATAGGAACAGACTGAGATAGGTAGCAACAGACTGAGATAGATAGATAGATAGATAGATAAATAGATCAGTCGAAGAAAGAAAGAAAAAAGAAAGCAATAGATAGACAGATCAGAAGAAAGAAAGAAAAAAAAAACAGATAGATAGACTGAGATAGATAGATAGATAGATAAATAGATAGATAGATAGATAGATAGATAGATAGATATGAACAAAATGAGATAAATAGCAACTAGCGCAGATAGATACATATGAACAGCATTAACTAGATTGGTATAGAGAGAACTGGATAGATAGATAGATATATATGAACAGACTGAGATAGATAGATAGATAGATAGGAACTGACTGAGATAGGTAGCAACAGACTGAGATAGATAGATAGATAGATAAATAGATCAGTCGAAGAAAGAAAGAAAAAAGAAAGCAATAGATAGACAGATCAGAAGAAAGAAAGAAAGAAAGAAAAAAAAAACAGATAGATAAGAGACTGAGATAGATAGATAGATAGATAGATAGATAGATAGATAGATAGATATGAACAGACTGGGCTAGATAGATAAATATGAACAGTCGAAAAAAAAAAGAAAAAAAAAAGAGAAAAACACAGATAGATAGGTATGGAAGAGAATAAGATAGATAGATAGATAGATAGATAGGAACTGACTGAGATAGGTAGCAACAGACTGAGATAGATAGATAGATAGATAAATAGATCAGTAGAAGAAAGAAAGAAAAAAGAAAGCAATAGATAGACAGATCAGAAGAAAGAAAGAAAGAAAGAAAGAAAGAAAGAAAGAAAGAAAAAAAAACAGATAGATAAGAGACTGAGATAGATAGATAGATAGATAGATAGGAACAGACTGAGATAGGTAGCAACAGACTGAGATAGATAGATAGATAAATAGATCAGTCGAAGAAAGAAAGAAAAAAGAAAGCAATAGATAGACAGATCAGAAGAAAGAAAGAAAGAAAGAAAGAAAAAAAACCAGATAGATAAGAGACTGAGATAGATAGATAGATATGAACAGTCGAGAAAAAAAAAAAAGAAAAAAAGAGAAAAACAGTCAGATAGATAGATAGGAAGAGAATAAGATAGATAGATAGATAGATAGATAGATAGATATGAACAAAATGAGATAAATAGCAACTAGCGCAGATAGATACATATGAACAGCATTAAATAGATTGGTATAGAGAGAACGGGATAGATAGATAGATATATATGAACAGACTGAGATAGATAGATAGATAGATAGATATGAATAGACTGAGACAGAAAGATAGATCAATCAGTAGGAAGAAAGGATAAGGAAAGCAATAAATAGATAAACAGATTGATCAATAAAAGAAAGGAAGTAGATCAAAAATGAAAAAAGACAGATAATTCTGAAAAAAAAGCTGTATAAAAAATGACATTGAAAAGATGTTAAAAAATTCAAGTGCAAATTAATAGAAAAAAATAAAGAAAAAATAAGATAAAAATTAATAATAGAAATAAAAAGATGAAAAAATATTTAGAAAGGAAAGGGCAAAGAAAATGGGAGAGAGAGAGAGAGAGAGAGAGAAAGAAATCTATAATGAGAAAATTACAGACAATAAGACAGAAAATGAATATATCCAAAAATAGAGTGTGAAAATTGTAAAGCCCTCCCCTGCCAAATGATAGGCCAGGCCCCTTAACAAGACAGACAGGTTGTTCAAAGAAAACTCAAGCTCTCATTTACTCCAATCTACGAAACAATTAATTCCTGAATGGATACACAGATTTGCAGTAATCTTTCTCCCACTGGGAGCAGGAAAGCTACTCTCAGACATTGGTTAATATAGGAGAACTTTTCTCAAACTTTGTTTCCATTTCCGAGATGAAGATATCAGCTTTCATTTCGACTTGGGATTATTTCATTAACATTTGAGAACTTCAATTACTTATTTTCTTATATGCCTGTCTAACGCCTCTGCTTGTATGCGAGTAAATTGAAACTCCTGATATTTAACCCCTGCTGATATCAGAGATTTTATAAATTACCTTAATCAGACATTTTTTTTTCATGACTCAATAAATAGGAATGACCTCAAGAAAACTGAAATTTTTGACGACCAATCTAATATTTTAAGTTGTATGCACAGGGCCAGTGTATGGTACCTTGACCAAGTGTGGCCCAAGCCTGATTGGCGCCCCAGGCAGTTCTTTGTGACCCTCGCTATCTTACTAATATTTGTTTTTTTTACATACATTTATATACATTACAAATTAAACTAAGTACAAATATTAAAGGATGTGTGGATTTTGATGTCATTCTGGGGTCATTTTTTTGGGTCCAAATCTGTGAATTTGTTTTGCTCATGTAAATTCTCAAAAAAAAATCTATATAAAATTTACTAATTTTTATCCATAATGTTGAATGTGTTAGTTAATTCAACTTTTTAACAAGAAAAATCTCAAGTTGACATTAAAAATTGCAACAAATTAAATAAAATTATTTAAAATGAAATGATCTATTATGACACGTCTTTAATTTGTATTTAGATACATTGTATTTATTTTCAATTTTTTGAGTTGAAAATTGTTCACCTATATTGCATATGATCTATTATTGTACATAATTAGGTTACAATAAAATTTGTATTTTATATGAATACTACATTATAAAAATTAAGATTTAGTCGATTCAATAGGAGACAAGACTCTTGCACTGGCCCTGTGTATGCACAAAAGTTAAATGCATACATATATATATATATACATACATACATAGACATATATATATATATACACAGGAGTTAAAATTCTCAAAAGTGTCCCTATCAAATCAAAATATAAGTCTGGGCACCAGATTTTTAGCACAAACTTGTTCCAGATTTTGTGTGACTGTGTTCATGCATTTGTTTTAATTACTGAAGCAATTTCTTTAAAGAAAGTAATGACTTGTTATTAATCAGACAGATTTTTTAACACTTTATTTTTAGTGGATACTTGTATTTAGGTGTTCAGTTTATTTATTAAACAGTATGTTTATTTCTTTTCATCTTCTAGCCTGAATATTCAAGAAATCTTATTAGAGGAAAAATATTTAGTTCTGTTTAGTGTTACTTATGTTTGAGTAGACACTATTTATATATTAAACAGTAGATTTATTTCTTTTTATCTACCGGTCTGAATGTTTGAAGAATGTTATTAAAGAAAATTTTTAGAAACCCAATCCGAAATAGGAAACAAGGGAAAAACCTCTGTCCCTGTTCAATAGGCAGGAGGAGTGTGAACTGGATGATAGGTGAACCTATCTATTATATATATATATATATATATATATATATAAAATTAGAAAATCAGCCGATTCCACTACATTGGTTTCAGTATCTTCAGTCAGTTTCGGTCAATTGAATTCCTAATACTTTATTTTTTAAAAAATAAATATTTTTAAAAAATTGATAAATGAATAAGCGCACAATATAAGGTGTGGTTAAAGGTGAGGAAAAGAATTCATAGTAAAAAGTTCATTTGAAGTGGGATAAAAAGAACATATGCATATTTCATTTAATCCCCTAGTGATACATTTCCATTAACACTTGATTTCATCCCCTCTCCTCCTCCTCCTCCCTCTCCTCCCTATATCCCCCCTCCCTCCTCCTCCTCACTGTCTACCACACCTTACATCGTGCACTTATTCATTCATTTATTTTAAAAAATAGAACGTTCATAAATTTTTTATTTAAAAAAAAAAATAAACCATTAGGAAATCAATTGACTGAAATCGCCTGAAGATACTGAAAGGTTGAAACCAAGGTAATAGAATTGGCTGATTTCCTAATTTATATATATATATATATATATATATATATGTATGGGGCACCTCGAGGTGGTGTAATGGTTAGCAAGCTTGTCTCGCTAGAACAATTACGGCTGAGTAGTGAGTTCGATTCTCACTGGGTGCCCCTTACTTTCGGCCGTGTGCCATATCCAAGCTATGCTTGGAAAATTACTATATATATATATATATATATATATATATATATATATAAATGGCAGGCTGTTCCCCTTCAAGTATGCCTGTCTCCTAGAGCAGCTAGCCAATCCTTTTTGTAGATTGCTCAAGCCCACCTGTGTTTTATACTGCAACTATGTTAAGCATACCTTCATACTTATTTCCTCATTTTCTATATTTAAAAGCTGTACATGTTAAATTTTTATCTTTTTATGTGTATTGTGGACTTTTTTAATATTACTATTTCCAGGTCTGATTCAATTCTGACCATTAAATTCTTTCATTTTATATATATATATATATATATATATATTGAAGAAATTACAGACATTATGTCTGCTAATTTTTAACAAAATCCGTTCATACTCATGAATAATCTTCCATGTATTGATGTTAAAGGATGAGAGAAATGCGCTATAGCTGTTTAAATTTCTTTTATTTTCATTTCCCAAGAATTTTCAATGATCTCTTATCATCAATACATGGAAGGTTATTCGTGAGTATGAATGGATTTTGTTAAAAATTAGCAGACATAATGTCTGTAATTTATTCACTCAGACATCTAAAAGAGAATTTGCTACCTAAATACACATATATATATATATATATATATATATATATATATATATATATATATATATATATATATATATATATGTATGTATGTATGTATGTATGTATGTATGTATGAGTGTGTTTGTGGGTGTGTGTGTTGGGTTGGCTCTTTCTGCAGGATATTGTATTGTATACAGGACACTGTATTAAAAAAAATAATATATATACCTATATAAGATTTCTTAAAGAGCAACAAAAATTTTTGATGGTTTTATTCTTTTTTGATATTAAAGACATTTTCCCAGTTTTCAGTACATATTTCAACATAAAATTTTCAGCGATCTTAGTTGATACAGCTACCTGACTAGGCATTCTATTTACTTATTAAACAGTATATTTATTTATTCTTGTCTACTGGCCTGAATGTTTAAGAAATCTTATTAAAGAAAAATTTGCACTTCAGCTGGGTTTGAACCTGTGTCCTAACCAACTGAGCTATAGAGAACCAGTTAATCAGGCAAGGCAGAAATTGAGGCTTTAAAATGGAGCATCTAAAATATGAGTATCCATTAAAAATTAACTTTTCAGGTGATAAAAAATCAGTCGGTTTAATAAAAATCTATTAGTTTCTTTAGCAAAATTGCTTTGTTTACGCTTGGATAGGAAACTATGCTGATATGAAAAAGATCTATGATAAGAGAAGTTTTGCATAAAGGCACAATTTCAGCCTTACTCTTTGACTCTTGCTTGGAAAAAACTTCTGCAACTATAGCTGCAGTATGTGTGATACCCCCACGATCTGAAGGGGTTTATGAGTCTTGTGATTGTGATAATAAAAAAAATAAGTAAAGACAAACAAAAGCAGAAATTGCAATTTATGCAAAGAGGAAAAATTATAGGTTGCAGGATTAGAAAGAAAGTAAATAATGTGACTAAAAATAAATGGAATTATTTTGAATTGTCGGCAACGCTAATGAAACTCTTTTGAAAAATGTGCAAAAAAGCAATGAATCTTGGCAATTTGAATAAAAAAAAAAAATCAAACATTTTGGAAAAATAAAACATTATATATTATAAATTTTTTTTAAAGGGATTAGAAGATACATCACTCTTATATTATAAGCAAAAGGAATATGTCCTGTCAGTATGTCATCAATCAGTGTAAGGGAGGAGAGGTAAGGCTTATTACTTTCTATGCCTTCTATATACGTTTTTTCTTGGGATATTTTTTATGGATACAGTTATTTGAGTAAATGCTCTGTTTTTTTTAATTAAACAGGATTAATTACATTTACCAGCCTGAATGTTCGAGAAAATTTTGTAGAAAATATGTCCTCCAACTGGAATTGAACCTGTATCCTATAATTTTGCTAAATCAGAAGTCCTCTGTGGCTGGACAGTCATAACATGTCAGGCTAAATTATGGTTCCGTATAGAATACATGTTTGATTCCTGTCAGAGGACACATATTTTGTAGGAAATTTCTAAAACATTCAGGCCAGTAAATGTAATTAATCCTGTTTAATTAAAAAAACAAGCATTTATTCAAATAAGTGTATCAATAAAAAAAAAAAAAAAATGTATAATGAGAAAATATATTAAAAAATATATATATATATATATATATATATATATATATATATATATATATATATATATATATATATATATATGATATTATTTTTATATGCAGAAAAATTACTTGTTATTTCTCTGACTCAAAGTTTCT